CTATCTATCTTATCTATCTATCTATCTATCTATCTATCTATCTATCTATATGGTTTGAGGTTAGTGTATATATATGTGTGTGTGTGTGTGTGTGTGTATGTTTATATATATTATACATCATTTATATGTTACACACACACACACACACACACATACACACACACACACACACACACACACCACCACACACACACACGACACACACACACACACACACACACACACATACACATATATATATATATATATATATATATATATATATATATATATATATATATATATATATATATATATATATATATATATATATTAAAATGCAATAGTGGTCAGGTCGGTAATATAGTAATAGTAAGGATAATAAACAGTTTTGAATTATTTCCTTATATATCATTCATTTATATATCTGTATTATATATATATATATATATAATAATATAATATATATATATATATATATATATATATATGTGTGTTGTGTGTGTGTGTGATGTGTATATATATATACATACATATATACATAATACTATATATATATGTATATATATATGTGTGTGTGTGTGTGTGTGTGTGTGTGTGTGTGTGTGTGTATGTGTATGTACATGGCGTGTGTATATGTGTGTGTTTACGTATGTATGTAAATATGTGTGTGCGGTGTGTATATATGTATATATTATAATATGTGTGCGTGTATTTGTAGTTGTATATGTGTTTTTGTGTACATATGTATTAAAATAACATTTTTCTTCTTTTAACTTTTTACATTTGGCTTTCTATATATCTTTCTTTGGAATTCAAGTTATTTTCATTTAGTCATTTAATGTTTTTTATTATTTTTCTTCAAGCAATATGTTATTGCAGTCTATCTTTGTTCTCCTTTCCCAAGGAATGAAGTTTCTTATTCTTTTCTATTTTCCTTTCGCACAGCAACAATGAGTTTCCTCGCCGATTGGATGCCGTTGGAACTCTTTAGCAGAGGAGTCGGTATCAAAGAGGAGCCCAACGTTGGGGTCACCGAAGAGACGTGTCTGGATATTAAGGACGAACCACTGGATTACGGAGAGGAAGCGGGGGAGGAAGTGAGCGACGTGGAATTGAAGTCTGAAGGACTTTTCTTCCAAAATCTAAGGCATAAAGCAAAGAAAAAATTCTGTGACTTGGTTCAGGATCGCAATGACATTTAGGAACGGCCATTTGTGGCTGAGGACAGTGGGAGCAAGTGTTCATCAGATGGGAATCAGGCGATGTACAAGGAAAGTCCTGAGGGGGATATACAAACAAAAGTGGAAACAACATTGAAACGTTATGGATGTGACGTGTGTGGCAAGAAATTCTCTTCTCGGAGTAAGATCGAAGATCATATGAGAGTCCACACAAAGGAGAAGCCATACATGTGTGATATTTGCAATAAGGCATTTTTTCAGAAAAGAAATCTAATAAGGCACATGACAGTGCATTCAGTTAAGAAGCCCTTCAGATGCGATACTTGCAATAAGGCCTTCATATGCAAAACTTCTCTTCTTAATCATATTAGAATACATACAAAGAAGGTTTCCTTTGATATTTGCAACAAGGCTTTCACACATAAGGATCATCTAGTAAGACATACAAGACTACATATAAAAGAAAAGCCATATTCTTGTGAGATTTGCAACAAGGCTTTCACACGAAAGGATACATTAGTGAGACATATAAGAGTACATACAAAAGACAAGCCATATAGTTGTGAGATTTGTAAGAAGGCTTTCACACATAAGAATAATCTAGTGAGTCATATGAGAGTTCATACAAAAGAAAAGCCTATTCCTGTGAGATTTGCAACAAGGCTTTCACACGAAAGTATGATCTAGTGAGACATACAAGACTACATACGAAAGAAAATTCATATACCTGTGAGATTTGCAACAAGGATTTCACACAAAAGGCTCATCTAGAGCGACATGTAAAAGCACATACAAATGAGAAGCCATAAAGCTGTGGGATTTGCAATAAAGCTTTCATAGGAAAGTCTGATCTAGTGAGACATATAAGACTACATACAAAAGAGGAGCCGTATGGCTTTGAGATTTGCAACAAAGCTTTCTAAGACAAAAGGAATTTAGTGAAACATACGAACGAGAAGCTTAACAGCTGTGAGATCTGCACTACTTCTCGCTGTTGATGTATTTGTACATAGAGGTCACGGGCCACGGACAATGTATAAATATATATACTTTCAGCGGTCATGAGTAGCATGAATCAGCATCATATTTCATCCCAAAGGAACACACTTCCTCTTTACATTATTGGGGATGAATTGGCCTAAAATTTAGAGGATCTCTTTTCTGACATGTGCTGAACATGATATTTTTAATGTGTAGTTCTTGCCAAGCATAATAAACTTTAATATATTATGACCTCTATTTTAGTCTCCATGGATATTTTTGTACAGGGAAATCCATTTCTATTGTCATTTATCAGGGGCGGTCCAAAGTGAAATGCTACTGGTCATAATGTGCTGGCTAATTAAAGTACTTACCCTGGCTCATTAAAGAGTGTACATAGCTCAGTGCCACCACCCGAATGGTACGTTCGGGAACGAGTGTATAGCATAAGAGATGCGGTGTCAGAAGAATTGTGGAGAGAGATACAATTGTGCAAATGAGCCGAAGTGAGGTAAGCGTGGTTTGAATCTCGAGAAGAGGCTTATACATATGCTTTATCTATAGAATAAGGTTCCTGATTGTTTGCCCTTTAAGATTTGAAATCAAAATGTTTTATATCTTTTTATCTTTCTTCCTTGCAAATAGTCGGGGACTTGTCGAAAAGATGCATAATCAAATCCTCTATTCACTTTATGAAAGCAGAAATAAAACAACGTACAACGAAACACGAGCACAGTAAATCACAAACACTAAAACATTCAACAACACATAAAACACAGTTAAGACAAATATAAAAATAAATAAAAGCAAGAACAAATACCATCCTTTTACGTGTACAAAGAAACTTAATCACTAATTTCTCTATATTTCCGAGACCACCACCTCGAACTCAGGGTCCAGCGATGGAACTCCCTTGCAAGCCCGGGAACTTTTCTTTGTCAGCTCGGCCCACCAAACAATTTTGGTTCTCATTGCATTTATGAATAAAAATTGTTTCTATAATCACTAAAACCTTACTATAATCTTTAGAAATAGGTTTAAAGTGCTGTTCATAAGATTAATATAAGATTTATGAAATAAAAGAGTAAGAAAAAAAATCATGTAAGGTACCCTCACATAAGATAACCATCTACATATAAGAGTTCATAAAATGTAAGGTGTAAAGTCTTCAAAATAGAGTTCAGATAAATAGGTAAGAAAAGATCATAAGATGTTAAATAAACACATAAAAAAAAACGAAGATAGCGAAGCCGCTCGGATGAGACGCTCCAGCTTCGGCTCCCGTTTTCTATAGCGAGGTGAGGTGGCCAGTCACAGCTGATTCTAGTACGGGCTTGGGTTCGCATTGCCGAAGGTCCTGAGCAAACGCTAGAAGAGCTTTTCTCCCTCTTGGTGTAGTGATATAAGTATATATGTGTATAATACATATATACTGTATATATGTGTATATATATAATATATATGTATCTACATACATGTACACATATATATTATGAATGGCAAAGGGTTATACATGTATAAAAGCTTTTCTGATTCGGTCTGGGTTCCATCTGCTTCTTAGTTCCGAAGCTCCTGCGGTTCGTTCGAGTCGTGAGCGAGTCGCGTCACTTTTGTTTGTACTTTTGGTTATAGCGTGTGTATTCAGCTGTTGTTGTGGTTGTTCTTGGTTACTTGTTTATGAAAGAAATGAAATATGTTATGTAATATATACCGCATAGTCATCGTTATGTGTGACAGAAGACTCCTCCAACGATGGGCTGGGTCAGGGAGAGTAGGATGGTCAGCTGTCAGCACGGATGAATATATTATAATTTTGTATAATATTCGTATGATACGATGATATACGGTTTTGTATACTAATAAATTCATATACATAAAATTATATTTGTTTGGCTGCGTCTTAAAGAAATGCACTGAAAATGAACCTTGTATTCACACACGTGCACACGCAAACGAACCCCCCCCCCTTCACACACAAGCACATATATATGAATGTATATGTATATATTCACACATAAACACATGTATATGTGTAAATATGTAAAATACATATGTATATATTCATGTATATATATATATATATATATATATATTATATATAATATATATATATATATATATATATATATATATATAGAGAGAGAGAGAGAGAGAGAGAGAGAGAGAGAGAGAGAGAGAGAGATAGAGAAAGATATGATAATTTACTTGCACATAAAGTAATAATTTCCTCCTCAAAATCCTCACAATTTTCCTCTTTTACACTTTCACTCTAATAAATAATTCCATTCTCAACCTATTCCTTGATACCACCGATATATGTGTGTGTATAGATATTATTGCACATATAAGTATATGTATACATATATACATATATATGTATGTATATGGATATATATACATAAATATTTATATATATAAATATGTATATATATATATATATATATATATATATATATATATATATATATATATATATATATATATATATATATATATATATATATATATATATATATGTATGTATTCATAAATATCTACAAATATATACGCATATAATATATATATATATATATATATATATATATATATATATATATATATATATATATATATAATATATATATATATATATATATATATATATATATATATATAATATATAATATATATATATATGTATATATATATATATATATATATATATATATATATATATATATATATATATTCATATATTTCTATATATAATATATACAAACATTTATATACATATATATACGTATGTATATATATGTATATTTGTATATGTATGCAAAGATATGCATATATATGTATACATATGTATATATATGTACACACATATATGTATATATATGTATATATGTATATATGTCTATGTATGTATATGTATGTAAATATATGTATCTATTCATGTATATATATAAATAATATATATATATATATACATATATATTATATATATATATATATATATATATATATATATATTATATATATATATATATTCATATATATATATATATATATATATATTCATATATGTATGCATATATAAAACATATATATGTATATATTAGCACATAAATGTATATACATACATAGATATACATAATATATACCTTCATCTCTCTCTCCCTCTCTCATAATATCTATCTATCTATCTACCTATCATATATATATATATATATATATATATATATATATATATATATATATATATATATATATATCCTACTTTTCTTTGTAAACTCGAAGCAAAAGAAAAATGGAAGGCAAATGTCCCAGCAAGACATTCGCACTGTACGGTATTTGGCTGTGATCCAGCTGGCTCTGAGACGTCTGTCGGTCCTCGTGGCTCGGAAGCTGATCACAGCGGCGAGAACAGCCTCCTTCCCCGGGACTTTGCTTGATCCCAGAGATTGAGGATATCTAGCTTCTGCTATCAGCGCTGCAACCCGCATAGGTGGACTTGTTATAGTGCTACGGTTACTGTGGCCAAAGAGATCGACCACATCTTTGCTAGCACTCGCTGGAGTATCCAGAGAGAGAGAGAGAGAGAGAGAGAGAGAGAGAGAGAGAGAGAGAGAGAGAGAGAGAGAGAGAGAGAGAGAGAGAGAGAGAGAGAGAGAGAGAGAGAGAGAGAGAGAGAGGAGAGAGAGAGAGAGAGGGGGGGGAGCGAATGGTGTTTCCCGAGGTATGTGACTCGCCGGTAGAACAAGAAGGCGCAACTTTCGTACGGCACTTTTCTTTTTATTCAAATTATTGGTTATTCTTTTTTGTAATTTTCTGAGTACGATATCCCATGAAAGGCTTGTTATTATGGCTGTGGAACTATACTACAAAAAGCTTTATTTCCTATCAAAAGTCTGATAAAAGATTAAAGGCAAATTGAAGTCCAATGTCTCTACGCGGCAACACGTCGCGGAAGGGATATGCATATATGTGTGTGTGTGTGTGTGTGAACACACACACATACATGTATATACAAAAATACATGCGTAAGTATGTCTGTATTTTTATTAAGAGTCTTCGCTTCAGGGATCTCTGCGCGACCGACCGAGAGGCGAAGGCAGCGTGAGGGAGCCGAGTCTCCTTCGAGGGCCTTGGGCATGAGGAGAGGAAAGCCCAGGGGTCTCCAAGGGTCTCCAGGGGTCTCCAGGGGGCCGATGTTACCCCTTGGGGATCAATACGACTCTGCAAAGGGTCGATAAACTCCTGTTCTTTGAAAGGGGTTGATAAACGTCGGGGTCGCTCTGAAGTTTAATCGATGAACGTTGACGGTCGTAAACGGATATAACAAATCATGAAATATATATATATGTGTGTGTGTGTGTGTGTGTGTGTGTGTGTGTGTGTGTGATAATAATAATGATTGTACTGATAAATATTATTGATAATAACACCAATAATTACAATAATAATGACAACAAAAATGACAAAAGCAATAACAATATCGATGCATGATAAAAGACCAACACGGCAACAAACGCAATCAAGTGAAAATTAGGTTCTTATGATTATCAAGTAAAAAGACCCATTTAGTAAAGTATAAAACAAAACAAATAAAATTCAGGTTTTGTAAAATATAAGAGAGGAAGAAAGAAAAAAATGCACTTAGTTTCCCATTTTAGTCTAAACCAATAACCCAGTCCTGTGTTGGGTAATTGATTTAAATAAAAATAGGGCAAATCGGAACATTCAGAGAGGCTCCTTATTAACGTACTATCATAAGCAGCCATTTCAAATTACACAGCTAGCCCAGGGACACCCAAACCTTTTTGACCTTTGACCCCTTCATGGAATCCTCCATATCTTAACGACATCAAGACATGCACCGTTGATATAGATAAGATTCCATATTCATGTGTAAAAGGGACTGCATGTCTTGCTTTCCATTCACATCGTTAATGGAAACTTGTTCTGTAACCTCTCCACCATGAGCATATAGGGAAAAAAAAAAAAAAAAAAAAAAAAACTAATTGAATGCGAATCAGAAATTCGTATCAGCAGGATCTCTATACATATTTTGATTTTCTAGGCAAATATCAACTTTCGAAAAAAAAATAAATAAAAATTAAAACCCCAAAGCGTGTAAAGACCAATGGTTCCTTTAACTACATATCAGACCCCTGGGCCAGCCCTCCCCCATCCCCAGGACCCGGGAAGGAGCCTCAGGTCCTTCCCTCTCCATTCGTCTCTCGTTCAGTCGAGCAGACTTCCCTTGAGCGAAGAGTCGTAGCGTTGACGACCAAGGAAAGGCGCGCGTGGCCAATCAGCTGCGAGGAGCTTACCTGTGTGGAGAGTGAGGTGAGATCTCAGAGCAATTACTTCGTGCAATTTCATGTATTTTAAGTTAAGGGGAAATATATTATAAGATATATAGACGGTCATATGTATATATTAATACACACATTTATAGATATATGTATATATACATACATAGATACATATATGTGGATATATATAAACAGATATATACACATCCCTATTGATGATGACACGAACAAATATTTGTATATCATTACACAGATATGTATATGGACATAAAAACATACACATATATATTATATTTGAATATATTTATATACATATGCATGTATAGATATGTACATATATAGATATATGTGTATGTATAAACATATTTCTATATGTATAAAGATATATTTCTAAATGTAGATACATATACATAAATATATGTACACATGTATATACAATATGTTTATATATATGCAAATACAAATATACACATTTACATTTATATGTATAGATATGTACGAATAAAATACATATAACTATGCATATACATATGTATATATGTGTGTGTATTTATACATATTAAATAAAGATACTCTCATACACATGACCACAAACGCGCACACATGACCACACACACATATATGTATATATATAGAACATATATACATGTACATATATATGCAAATTTCTATATATGCATACACACACACACACACATACACACACACACACACACACACACACACACACACACACACACACACACACACACACACACACACATATATATATATATATATATATATATATATATATATATATATATATATATATATGAATATTTTAAATACAGACACATACAAGCACAAACACACACACACAAATACATACACACATACACACGCATACACACACACATGTATGTACACACACGCATACACACACCAATATTTATATATATTTATATTCTATATATATACATATTTAGTTAATATGTATAATTGTATGCATATTTAATGTATGTATATATGTTTAGTTTACATATGTATATGTGTGTGAATGTTTTTTCAACTTGCTTAAATATATGTATATATCTACATATTTATATATGTATATATACACACATATATATAAACTTATAAATATCCACATATAGAAATATACATATCTTAATACAATTTTAGAGATACATATATGTATATATTTGTAAATATATATCCATTTGTAAATATCAATCTCTCTCTCTCTCTCTCTCTGATCTATCTATCTATCTATCTATCTATCTATCTATCTATCTATCTATCTATCTATATGAGGTTAGTGTATATATATGTGTGTGTGTGTGTGTGTATGTTATATGTTACACACACACACACACACACACACACACACACACACACACACACACACACACACACACACACAACACACACACACACACACATATATATATATATATATATATATATATATATATATATATATATATATATATAATATATATATAATATATATAATATATATATATATATAAAATGCAATAGTGTCAGGTCGGTAATAATAGTAATAGTAAGGATAATAAACAGTTTTGAATTATTTCCTTATATATCATTCATTTATATATCTGTATATATAATATATATATATATATATATATATATATATATATATATATATATATATATATATATGTGTGTGTGTGTGTGTGTATATATATATATACATACATATATACATACATATATATATATGTATATATATATGTGTGTGTGTGTGTGTGTGTGTGTGTGTGTGTGTGTGTATGTGTATGTTTACGTGCGTGTGTATATGTGTGTGTTTACGTGTATGTATGTAAATATGAGTGTGCGAGTGTGTATATATGTATATATACATATGTGTGCGTGTATGTATGTGGTTATATGTGTCTTTTTGTGTACATATGTATAAGAAAATAACATTTTTCTTCTTTTAACTTTTTACATTTGGCTTTCTGTATATATCTTTCTTTTGGAATTCAAGTTATTTTCATTTAGTCATTTAATGTTTTTATTATTTTTCTTAAGAGCAAATATGTTATTGCAGTCTGAAATCTTTGTTCTCCTTCCATTCCCAAGGAATGCTGTTTCTTATTCTTTTCTATTTTCCTTTCGCACAGCAACAATGAGTTTCCTCGCCGATTGGATGCCTTTGGAACTCTTTAGCAGAGGAGTCGGTATCAAAGAGGAGCCCAACGTTGGGGTCACCGAAGAGACGTGTCTGGATATTAAGGACGAACCACTGGATTTCGGAGAGGAAGCGGGGGAGGAAGTGAGCGACGTGGAAGTGAAATCTGAAGGACTTTTCTTCCAAAATCTAAGGCATAAAGCGAAAGAAAAATTCTCGTGGGACTTGGTTCAGGATCGCAATGACGTCTTAGGAACGGCATTTGTGGCTGAGGACAGTGGGAGCAAGTGTTCATCAGATGGGAATCAGGCGATGTACAAGGAAAGTCCTGAGGGGGATATACAAACACAAGTGGCAGCCACATTGAAACGTTATGGATGTGACGTGTGTGGCAAGAAATTCTCTTCTCGGAGTAA